AAGCTCTGTGCCGATCCTCAAACACTGAAGGCCCGAAGTGAAGGACCTGCAGAGATCATAAGGCATGCCCTCTTTGGCTACTTCAGTCAGAAGACTGGGCTTCTCATTCACATGGAGGATTCGCATCTTACCCGTTTCCAAACAAACGGTGGGGACGCAGTTTACTGGGAAACAACCATCAGCTCCTTCTTGGGTGATTACCGTCCTGTTGAGGGAATCATGATCGCCCACTCTGGGCATTCTGTTGTGACCATTTTCCGTTTCGGGGAGTTGGCCATGAGCCACACCAAAACCAGGATGGAAGAAGCTTGGACAATCGAAGAGGTCGCTTTCAACGTTCCTGGCTTATCAGTTGACTGTTTCATTCCACCAGCTGATTTAAGGTTAGGAACTCTGAGTGAATCATATGAACTTGCACAGGACGAAAACGGAAAGTGCTCTTCGGCTGCTGCAGCCTACTGCACCAAGGTTGCAGCTCTGGAGACAACTCCCAGAGGAAATGTTGATAACCCTTTCTAAAAGTCAGAAACCTAGGCCTTGTTTGGGAACAACGTTTTCGATTAGCGATGCAGGTTAGCCTTTTAAAAAACGCTGAAGCTGTTGCCAAACAGGGCCCCTAAACTACTTGGGTGAACTCTAGCCTTGTTTATTTGGAAAGGTGGGTTCAAATTGACTAACCCGGTAGGAGTTACGATCACTAGCATAATTTATTGAGAATTTCTAGTATTCAGTCTTGAGCTTGGATGATTTTTCACACTCTGAATTGAGATTCCAACAAGGAGTTGGAGCCATATAGTTCCTAGAAACAGGCAGATAAACTGAAATGGACAGTGAAGGTTCATAATTTAGTTTGGCTTCCAAAAACCAAATAGGTGGCGAAGCATTCCTTCATTCCAACCCATTGGTTATTCCCTTTTCATATGATAATTGTTTCTCTTCTTAGCTCCGTGGTGGCAGCCGGAGAAGTATTGTTATTTGTTACTTCTACTTTGCTATCTGTATGGTTTTGTGTTGTTTTTTTAAATAGTATTTGAAGAAGAAAAGAGAGAGTTGTTGTTTGGTGATAGCTATGGTGGTGAAGTCAAGCAGATGCTAGAGAAAGTGTTTCTAGTCTGTGTACCAAACATGGAAAAGTAGTCTTTGTTGAATTGTCTGGTTTTTCCCCTTTCTGTAACTGGGCAGTGCTCATACATATTCAAAGCTACTGGTTCATACATGTGCCTTTTATTTAAGATTTGGTTGCCTGTTTTTTCCTTATTCAGTGTTTGGAATTAATTGTCCATTTTACATACTTCCTCTCTTTCAAAAAAATGTAACAGTTTATTACGGAGTATTAAAAAAGCATAGAATGTTTATTTATTTGCACATTTTTTTATTATTTCATAAAAAATATGTTCTTGTTATCTCTTGTTTTAAGAAAAATTTATGTTTGAAAAAATTCTGACGTGGTTTTGAAGTATATAAATTTTATTATTTATTTCTATACAAATTTTTAAATAAAATAAATTGAAAAAACACTTGAAATTTTGTTTTGCGTAGTGTGACAAACAAATGATTCCTAATTATAGATGGTTTTTCATATTTAATTTCTAATTTAAAGATATTAGAGTAAATTTCATAAAAGGTCCTCAGTTATAGATTGTTTTACATATTTAGTCCCTACATATCAAATATTACTAATTTAGTCTTCAATTATTATATTCATTTCCACAAATGGTCTTTTGTTAACATTTTCGTTAAGAATGTGGATAAAATTATAAATTCACACTCCTTTTTTTTCTCAATTAAGCTTACCCCCCTCTCGCACTCCTTTCCCAAATCCGTCGCTGAGTTTGAAGCTTTGAACCCAAAACTGAAATCATCACTCTTCTCTCAATTGTTTGTCTAACTGGTGGAACCCAAATTCGAAACCAGTAACCTTCATAGATGAGTTTTAACGTTTATTTTCTTTGCAATTTCTTCAAACTAACCGATTAAACTCATCCATAAAGCTTATTGGTTTTTGATTTTAGGTTCCACCAGAATAACTAATACTTGAGAAAGGAATGCCCATTTCAGTTTTGGGTTTAGAGCTTCAAACTCAGCGACGAATTTGGGAAAGAGTACGAGAGGAGAGAGGAAGCTTAATTGAGAATAGAGAGAAGTATGAATATACAATTTTATCCATGATCTTAAAAAAACGTTAACAAAGGATCATTCGTGAAAAATGATATAATAATTGGGGACTAAATTAGTAATATTTGATATGTATGGACTAAATATGTAAAACGACCTATAATTGGGAATCTTTTATGGAATTTACTCAAGATATTATAGAAATAGTCCTCAACTTTTGTAAATTATTCCATAAATAATCTTTTAGGTCTAATATGTCAAAATACTTTTTCCACATATAGTCTTTTAGACCAAATATGTCTTTAAAAAAATGTCAAAGTTTATTACCCGGAGTATTAAAAAAGCATAGAATTTTTATTTATTTGTACGTTTTTAATTTATTATTTCATAAAATAAAATATTCTTGTCATATCTTGTTTTGAAAATTTTTTGTTTTAAAATTTTTTTGACGTAATTCTGAAATATGTAAATTTTATTATTTATTTCTATACAAATCTTTAAAAAAAATAAATTATTTTTTTTTGAATGAAGTATTACATTTAGAGCTTGTTTGAGAGTGATTAACTTTTGGATAAAGTGCTTTCCAAAAAACTGAAAGCAAAAGCACCTCATACCTGCTTCTCCAAAACGGTGTTCTGTGTACAAAATAGTGGCAGTGAAAAGCAAAAGCTGACCTGCCAAACAGAATAAAATCACTTACACTCAAAGCATTAGCTAAATTATTAAAAGTAGCGCACTTCCAAACACCCTCTTAATTTAGACCATACCCTCTCTATACTAAAATTGATTACAATTTTTTTCTTACTTTTCAGTAAGTTTTTTTTCGGGTGTTTTCATTGATTATTTGATAAGACAAATATGTTTGTCAATCGCTTATTTTGTGTAAATTTTGATATTAATTTTTGATATATAATTTTTATTTTTAATTGATGCATCAATTTGTAAATAATTAATTTCATAAAATAAAAGATTTTTGCCTCATAAGTTGTAACTTTCAATTGTAATCAAAATTGAGACTGAAAAAATCACCAAATAGAGATTACATAAGAGCAGTGGCAGTGGCGAGGCATTTGCCTCCCACGCCCTGCCACTTCATACTTTTGCCTTGCTAAGCATGACATATTCTCAACGTGTCACTTGCTTTCCATGTCATATGCAAGACACCCTTTTACTTTTTTTTCTTTTTTTTCTTGATTTGTTTTGACAAATAGAAAAAAACTTTTTTGAAGGCATTATACCCTAAAATTGGTATATTTTGGCGTTAAAAAGGCTTTTGTTTGCGTATGTTTTTTCATTGTTCAATTGATAAAATAAAATATTTTTTTAACAATTGTTTTAAAAAACTTTGGATAAAATATATAATTTATACTCTTTATTTTCTTGTCAATTTGCAAATAATAACAATTTAAAAGAGATGATCTTTTACAAGTTGTTCGAAAGAGGATAATGTTTTGGGGAAGATGGAGTAATTTTATACTCCATTCGGCCAATGCAACTATAATAATAATTTTTTCAATTTAACTTTTCACAATTTCAAAAATTTTACAAAATAAGCAGCGATAAGAATAATTTATTTTATTAAATTTACCATGAAAAAGGGAAGCACAAAAAATGTTATAAAAAATCTAAAATAGTAACTACGACATTTTTGGGAACGAAGAGAGTATAAACAAAGTAGAATTATTTTTTATAAAAATATTAAATAAAATAAATATTAATAATTAAATACATAAAAATTTAAAAAAAGGACAAAGATAATGACTTGCCACTGCAATGCATGCCACTCCATGCTCTAGCCACACGATGACTGGACTGTTTTCTATTAGTTAAAATGTTCTACGTCAAGGTGTAACATTCCATTTTTTGCCTTGTCATTGCCCATGCTCTAAGAGCATGCGCAGCGGCGAGGCATTTCCTCGCTCGCTGCGCCACATCAGCTCTCTCGCCACTTTTGCCTCGCGTGGCTCGGCCTCCCTCCACGCCAAGCGTGTGAGGCGCGAGGCATCCTCAATTTTTTTTTATTTTTTTTATTTTTTAGAAAAATAATTTTTTTTAAAAAAAAGAGTACATCCACATAAAAAAGACAAATGAAATAATTTTTAATAATTAAAATGCTTTAAAAAATCATAAAAATTGACAAAAACAATGACTTGCCACTGTACGAGATGCCTCTCCACTCACTTGCCACACGCTGACTGGATTGTATTTTATTGGTTGAAATGTGCCACGTCAACGTGTGACATTCCATTTCGTTACTTGCCATTGCCTATGATCTAAGTACTCACAATGGCGAGTCCAAAGACTCTAATGCCATGCCACATACGGAGTAGGATATTTTTGGGTATGCCACATATGTGGAAGTGGCGTTCCTCCACAATATGTGAGGCAAGTGGTGTTCCTCCATGATATATTCTTTTTTTAATATATTGATTTCATTTTGTTGTGCAAGAAAGAAGCATATTTTTAAAAAAATTTTAGAACAAAAATAAGTTAAATAATTTTTAATAATTAAATTACGTCAAAAAAGTATAGAAACTGACAAAAATAATGACTTACCACCGTATGACAGGTTATTCTACTTCTTTGTTACACGTTGACTAGACAATTTTTGATTAATTAAAATATTTTATATGACCTCGTTGTGTTCTATTTTTGTCTCACGGACATGCTCTAATTTTAAAAACTTATGGACATATTTGAGAATAACGTTAGTGTTTTGGATAAAATTTTAGTCGCAAAGATTATCTTAAAAAACATTAACGCTCAACGTTACCTGTAGTCCGTAGATAACCTTTTCAAACTCTAATAATCAACCTTACCTATAGTCTAATCAACCTTACCTATAGTCTATAGATAACTTTTTCAAAATGCTAACGTCCATGTATGATGCTATTCCCAAATAAGCACACCAAAAAATCAATAATCTTGGGGAGGGTACTTGATTTTAGGGTCGTCTTCTTCCCCCAAAGGCCAAAACCCTGACCGGCCAAAACCCTAAGCAAAATTCAAGCAATGATTCCCTAATCCAGTTCAACAATGGCCTACGTTAGCCTCATACACAATTGTTCCATACTAAGGCGAACGGCAACTCCATTGGTCGCCACGGCCTCATCGTATTCCGCCACCGCTCCCGTCTCATCTCTTCAGCTGTATCGGCGCTTTCAATTAAGAAAATGCCACATTCTTCTCCGTCCCAGAAGGCCGACCCAAAGCTCGAACAAGTTTTTGTTCTGTTCCTCTGCTAGCAGTAGGTCTTCTCCAGCCCTTGCACTTGGGCTGCGCAGAAATGAGGCCACTTCTTCTTTCTCTATCCCGTATTATCATCAGCAGATTTTTGGGTTTAGCAGATCTGCACACTCTGAGTGCCCGTCCGAGTCCGAGTCTGATCAGGAATTGGAGCCTGAGTCCAAGCAGTTGGCAAGTGCCTTACCTTTTAGTTACTACTACTTATTTTTTTACTGGATTGAGTTCTGCTAATGCTTTTCCGTCCGGGCAAAAGGCCGACACTTTTTCAATATACATTTCCTGCTTGTTGCAACAATAATAAGAAAATCATGTACGGCTGTTTTTTACCAGGCTACCCAAGAGAGCAACTGAGAATAAAACTTTTTTGGGGCATATACTGATTTTTGTAGAACGAGTAGACTTCTGGCATAATAAAGTGAAATTTGTAATGATATTTTTCAAATGAAATATGGTAGCAAGACAAGATTGAAGACCTGGGCCATCTTACCAAACATACCCATAATATCTACTCTGAAGTAGGATAACGGGTCACCAAGCAACACAAATTTATGGAAACAAGTAGCAAAGAAATGCATGGCTCTCTTTGATACCTTACCAGCATAAGCAATTTGCAATTTTAGATGCATTTACACATTTGGTTGAGTCATGCTGGTATAGTCTCACTGTTCATACAAATATGAGACCTAATATGTGCCAAATGTTATTGGAAATAAACATATTTTACCACTTAAATTGTGTAATATAAACAACATATTTCCCTTACGAGTAAAACATGCTTTAATGTTTACAAAATTTTCCCTGACAAATTGTGTGCACCTTGTTGAATTTATTAATGCTAAAGTCCTTGCTTTGGAACAATGTTTCCAATGAGCATTAGCATTTTGGATAATTTTTTAATGATCTTTGGAAACGGTAAAGCTAAATGCTATTGTTAGTTAGCCTTTTCAAAACGTTAAAAATAAACACCGAAGCCGTTGCGGGCCCAAAAGCTTCCTAGTAATGAAAATATGGTATTTTAGATATTAGTTCTAATTGATGTTTTGTTATAACTTGTGACAGTCTGATTCAAGTCTTGATCGTATAGAAGAGTGGAAGTGGAAGTTAACTACACTCTTGCGTAATGAAAAAGAACAAGAGGTGATCTCAAGAGAGAGAAGGGATCGTCGTGATTATGAGCCTCTATCAGCACTTGCAACCAAAATGGGCTTGTATAGGTAAATCAGTCTTCTTTTGCATGCAAGTTTCCTCTCAACAAATTCATGTAGCTTTAAATGTTTCTTTGTTTCTTGCCTAAAATTATATAACATGAATAATTCAATTAATGCAGTCACCAATATGAAAAAGTAGTCGTCATCAGTAAAGTTCCTTTACCACATTATCGATCTGATCTAGATGCTAAACGTCCGCAAAGGGAGGTAATCCCTTGCTAATCTGAGTGTGTTATGTCATTTTATTTTGCTTATTTTCGTTCTTGCTTGGAGTATATTTTGTCCATGTGTTTGTTGATCTAATCTACATTTAAGTTGATCTTCTTAGGTGGTCTTACCCCAAGGATTGCAAGACCGTGTAAATGCTCTTTTAGAATCTTATTGTTCTAGAAAGTCTATCCATAACCAAAGGTCAGAGTCCAACTACTTTTCAAGATCGGATGATGGCCATAAATTTTCAAATGATGATAAACTTGGTGAGAATAAGAAGCCACCTTCACGATATATTGTTCCTGAGAAAATCCTTCGTCGTCGGAGTTTGGACATGCAACTCAAACAACAAAATTGGCAGGTGCATTCTTCTTTATGAAAATACTCTCTTTCATTCAAAGTAATACTTAGCAATATATGCCTTAGATGTGCACATTTACGTGCTACACAACTCTGGTCGGTTAATGGTTTGAAATGTTTCAAGATTTACTATACTAGATTCTAACCCGTGAGATGCACGGCGAAAAATCATATGAAGATAAACATAATGAAATATATAAATAACCCATGTGTAGAGATAATATGGTAAGTCAATGCATGTGTTGAATTTGTGTGTGTATAGGCACACACACACACACAAAGTAGTATGTTTCACCGATCAATATTGCATAATTTTATTAAACTATAATTAAAATTATTAATTCTAGAGAACTTTTTATATATAACATTCCAGGCATGAATGATCGAAAAGATTGTTTTCTTCGTTCCAAGTTATGATCTTATATTTTTATCGATTTGTCACGCGTGAAATAGCAAATTTAAAATAGACATTAACTGAAGATTGATTTTTAAGTATTAAACAATCATGCAATAGAGTTTGTCACTGGCTTTTGTTAATAGTCATTGCATATGAATTCAGGTTATAGCTAAAAATCGTTAAATTCACAACTGTATCGATTAGATCGTTGGAGTACTTCAAAAGCATATCATGAGGAATAATTATAATTTTTGAGCACCCATCATTTGGTTCTGCAGCATTTCTATCGCTAATATTCACAATCCAATATTCAAATTTGACCATATATTTGTAGTTCATTTCATGCACCAAAGATTACAATCTCATGTTCTTTGTCAAACACAAAATTGCAAATTATATGATCAATTAATTGTAGCATTAACAATGTCTTGTTATTTACAATGAACTATTTGAATCAAAATTTTAACGTGAGATAGCTCCGAATCCTAAAAAAACATGCTCACTTGACCTTTGAGGGGGAAATAGTGACCTTTTCAAATGTCGTTGCAAAACTTTATCACTGTGTTTAGTTCAAGAAATTTGAGAGGGAGAAAAGAAAAGAAAAGTAGAAGGAAAAGAGAAAAAGAGAGAAAGAAAAACTAAATTCCTCTCATTTTAGTAAGGAAACTAAGACAAAATCATTTTTTTTTCTTTTCCTTCCAAATTTCTTGAACCAAACATAGTGTATATGTATGACTTTTGATGGGAAATTAATTCCCATTGTGGCCATCTTTTCAAATGCCGATGGAAGAAACTTCATATATTTACTTCCTCCGTCCCTGAAAACCTTTCTCCTTTCTTTTTTCATCCGTCCCAAAAAACACTTCTTATTTCTATTAAAAAGTCACTTTTTTCCCTTACTTTTTCATAATCTACCTATCACATCATATCTTTTTTACTAATAATCTACCCATCAAATCCTACTTTTACCCATCACATCAAAGGACTTTTTTGGAAATTCATTACCAAAATACACTTCTCTTAAATTTAGTAAAAATCAATAACTCCTATGTTTTTAGGACAGGAGGGAGTATTATTTGTGATTTTTGATGTTCTCAATACTTGTTTACGGTTTGCCTTTGAATCAATTTATAATACTCCTAAAATTAATGATGGGGACGTGGGAGGTTGTGCATTAGTGGCATTGAATGCAGTTGTCATTATTATTTTTATAATATTATTATTTATGTTTTTTTCCACTACATGTGATGATGATCGTGCATTGTGGTGCATTAGTGGTTTGCAATAGTTATTATGTTATTATTTGTGTTAATTGCTTTTTGCAGTTACCATTATACTTAATTATTGTAAACATTACTGTTATCATAATTATATTACTATATTATTTTTATTATTATTACTTGAGGCAATTATTATTATTATTATTATTATTACGGAGTATTATTATTATTATTATTATTATTATTACTCCGTATTATTATGAAATGTGGTGATGTGCACTTGATTTTCACTTTTTACAATTCTTATTATTTTTAATAATTACGGAGTATTAAGTTTTTATTGCAGTTGGGCGATCTATACATAATGCCAACTGCCCATTTTTTTATGCAGCCGAATTAGCCCAACGCAGTGTATGAATTAATGGCCTCACTCATTAATTAAAATGGCCCATCATTTGACATTTTGACCCAAAACTTTAGGCGGGAAAAATATTCCTGTTGCTTTTGTAAGGAAGTAGATACAATTAACATATACTTCAAGCTCATTAACATTCAACACATATTGTGTGAACACTTACTATACCCGTCTAAAATCCAGTATCATGGTAAGTTTGTTAACAATGTAACATTGTATTCATGTAATATGGCTCGTAAATTATTCATATCTTGTAAACATTTCGTATAGATGAAGTGAACATTTCACATTAATATGGGATCTCTTGAAAATGTTTTGTTGCCTTAAATTAGTTTCTTATTTAGTACGTATTTGTTAGGGGTGAACCGGGGGTCTTATCAAGTTGATAATTTAGTGGCGGATTTGCGGAGGAAAATGGAAGGGAAGTAGTGGGCGAAAGTATGGAGGGTGTTTTAGGAGTTCTTTTTGGTAGTTTATGGAAGAAAGGAATAGGTTTAAGAAGGAGAAATGGGGAGGTAAGAAATGGAAGAAAATCGGGGATGGATAAACCAAGTTGGTGTTTAAGAGATATTACACACTCTTATCCTAACTTGGGGTTTGAATCTAGAATTTAATTAAGATATGACACACTTAATCAAATATCTAGAACCTAAAACTCACACTTAAGATAACCACCCTTAAGATATAGAATTAGGAATTTGGCTAAAATAGCATCACACTATTTTATGGATACTCAAAGAGTAAAGGATTTTCAATGTTCAAAGCTGTCTTACAATAGCCATAGGCCTGAGTTATATAGGCAGGGGAAAGGGGGAAGAAACACACAATACATTGAATGTAGACATTAGGAAACTTCCTAGCAACATCCTTCTCCAAAGCATGGGGTAATCTTTCTTCATTCCTGTCTCCTGGGTGGACTAAAATCAGGGATGGGGCTGGGGTTTGTGGGGGTTTTGAGCTTTGGTTTNTTTCCTGGTTTTTAAGGCTATTATTTGGGTAAAAATGAGGGGTTGTGTTTGGCCAATAAAAGGGGACAAGGCTGGGTAATATTAGGGGTGGTTTTGGACATATGGGTTTGGGTTATTGTGAGAAAAACATGGGCAGGAATGAGTGGCTAGTGGTGGGGTAGGGTTTTGGCTCTTTGTGGGTGTTTATGTTGGGTAGTGAGTTTTCATTGGCCAGGAAATAAAAGGAAGGAAGGGAAGGTTCTACTTGTTTATTAAAAGGCTTAAAAGAAGAAAAATAACAACAAACAAAAGGTTTTTGGTTTGCACACTCTTATTTTTGGCCAGGGGCTAAAATAAAAGTAATAAAAACTTTATTTTGAAATGAAGTAAATGGCAAGGAGTTTTGGATATTATGGGTTGGGTTGGACAGAGTGGGAGTCGGCCTGTGGACCCTTGGGTCCGAAGTTATTCTGGCCTCTTGGGTTGAAGGACTAGGAATTCTCACTAAAACGGATCATAATGTTTGAACGTAAGTCCTTTGGTTTTTGCGAGGGTGTGGGACATGGGGGAGGGTATCATAGGGCTAGGCCCGGATATAACAGTATTGTTCAGTACCATGTGATGTGTATATATTATGAGACCCCATAGTAGTATATCAACTCAATATATTCATCACGTGTCAACTCAACCTAGTAATAATTAATATATTAGTCCTCTAGCAATATCTGTCCTTTTCATGATAGCTTTAGACAATAAGGCGTGACTATGAGGGCTTGTAACAAGTTCTTTAAGGGGCTAAACCCTCTAAGCAAATAGCCAGTAGTCGAAGGGGCACTAGATAGAACAAACTGGTGCGGAAACATAGGGGCATCATATGCAACTAGAGGTTGGACAATAAATGGCCGATCAAGCCTAGATAAGGACAAAATAATCAAGCTAGTCGGTCATGCACTCATAGTTGTCATGGCGTCACCTAGACATCGACTTGGCACCCCCCGGTACAGAGCTCATGCCATGGAACCTCGCCTTGCCATGTTTCACCATGTTAGGTTTTGTGTCGCCTTTGGTCTAGGATTCCAACAATATACCCAATCAAGTTTTGTTCTCGTTTTTGTAAAATAAGGGCTTCCTCGTGTGCTGGTTATATACATCCTAGGATGTGTGGGTCGGTAGGTCGTGTGCTATATCATCCCACAATTATATAAAGTTTCATAGCAATGATGTGAAAATTCACACGATGGTCATACAAATTTTTTTGCACGTTTTAAAGGAACATTACAATCCCAAAATATACATGTGGCTTCTTACCATTTTAAGCAACCCACATTGAGGGGTCAGTTTTCACTCCAAACTCTTAGCATTATTAGCAAAATGTGTTCATATGTTCCATATCACTCACATTTTATATTTTTATAATTACCTTGATGTTTGGTTTGTCAACTATATGTTCATGTAGGAATCTTTAGAAGGGCAGAAGATGCAAGAACTCAGAAGGAATTTGCCTGCATATAAGGAGAGAGAGAATTTATTAAATTCCATTTCTCAGAATCAGGTATGAGGTATCTTTTCCATTCACCCTTTATTTTTCTAATTAGCTTTTGCAATGATACCTTGGCTTATGCCGCACAATATACGCTCATTCATAGTAAGAAGATGACGCATTCCATACCAACAACCCAATAAGGCGGACCCACTAGTGGGTTCTAGGGAATGTTGGTGTAAGCAATCCTTACCCTTACCTATAAAAGTACAACAACAAACCCGATATATGTTAGACAGGACCGAATCCCATTAACATTAAAAATTGCTTTGGTCTTCACGGCCCAAATAGTGTAATTTGTAGCAGTTAGAATTGGAACCTTAAAAGATAGTGAACTATTCTCCCTTGCAGTCACAATCTTCCTGTTGTCTTCTATCGCACAACTTTAATTCCTTTGACAATTTTCACAAATTTCTTAGACTTTGATTCCTTCCTGGGTCATAAGCCACCTGCAATCGAAAATCAACCAGAAGACAAGCCCCTGCCTTTCCGTCTTCCAAGACGCTAAACGGAAGCTACCCCACTGATTCATTTTTCCCGCGCCTTTTGGTTGGAATACTTCTACCCAAAAAAAACTAGCAACTTGATGTTATTTTTTAGGCAAGGAAGAAATCTGGTCAAAGATTTTGATATGTTGTCTTGGAAGTTGCTAATGCACTGTTTATCAGGCCAGTCCCTTATGCGGGCTATTCTCAATCGCACACTCCTGATCGCAAATTGGACCTGCTCCCTTTGATTGTTTGGTCCCGATTGGATTGTCGCTCCGATACCCATTGTTAGACCGGACCAGATCAAAGCAAAGTAGAATATTTTATTGTTTTTGAACTGTACACGATTCTTTGTGTTCTCTAAATATAAATAGAGAACAGACCAACACGACTTTTTCTAACCAACACAACTATTACAAACCAATACACCTATTAACATTCGAAACTACCCATAACTGTTTTTAGAAACTACCTAATTGTTTTGTTTTTTATTTAATTAAATACGTAAAACACACTAACCTACACCATACTATCTGACCCGAACATTGACTCGTTACCCATTGGTTATATGTGAACAAACCCGATTAAATCTAGTAGTATGATCCCAATTGCATTGGGGACCTGGGGTCTGCTGTCAAAAAGTGTGCATTTATGCATTTATCACTCTTACTTCATACACAGTACTTCGTAAGAAGCAAGGAAAGTTTATTGTGCCAAATTTTATTTAGTCCATTATTTTTGTGACACATTACCAAAGCTACTCTTTTAGCTCCATTGGCAATGGACTTAATGCTAACCTATAAAGGCCAAAGGGAGTATATTCTTAATTAAATTTCCTCTTTTTCCATTTGGGTGCCTGCCATACGACTCACCTCTCCCCTCAAAAAACCCCGTCTTGTCTACCTCTTTTCTTTCAAAACTATGACGTGAGCTTCAAGCAGCAGATGTGCAGATGTAAAGGTGAATGTGAGGTCGTATGAGGATGATTAAAATTATGAACGAGGTCATTTCGTGAAAGGTGGGAATTGGGAACTAGGTGTTTATGCGGTTGTTTTTTATGCCTATGTATTTACAAGATCGCAAAGGGTTGAGAAAGAAAGATGCGAGATTTGGACCAAGGGTCATCGTTAAGCCCATATCTTTTTAAACTAGTATTGGACGTTCGTACCGAGCATATCAGAGAATCTGTACCATGGTGCATGCTTTTTGCCGACGACATCATCCTTATGAGCGAATCACTAGAGGATTTGAATGAGAAGTTGGATTCGTGGAGACAGGCTTTAGAGTTGCATGGCTTGCATATAAGTCGCACTAAAACAGAGTATATGGATTGCAGGTTTGGCAACAAAAGGAGAGACAGTAACATCGAGGTGAAAGTTGGAGAAAATACTATAGACCAACTATATTATATGGGACAGAGTGTTGGGTAGCAAAGGGTGAACATGAACACAAGGTTAGTGTGGCGGAAATGAAGATGCTTCGTTGGATGAGCGGTCATACACGTATGGATAGAATAAGGAATGAAGATATGAGAGATAAAGTTTGTGTGACACCTATTGTAGGAAAAATGGTGGAGACTCGTCTTAGGTGGTTTGGACATGTGTAGAGAAGACCAATAGAGCATCCCGTGAGAAGGGTTGATCAAATGGTGAATAGGCATGTGGTTGGAGTAAGAGGTAGACCTAAGAGGACTTGGCAAGCATTGATCAAGGGAGACCTTCGCGTGAAAAATCTCACAACAGATATGATACACGATAGGGCGCAATGGCGTCATTTGAATCCATGTAGCCAACCCCACCTAGCAGGATAAGGCTTTGTTGTTGTTGTTTGTTGTTGATTTGTAGTTTGTGAAAATGTGCTTTTTGTGCTGAGAAATGCTAGTTACAAACACAATGGTCAGAAAATTCACAATTTTACTATTTGTGAACCTCACTTAGCAAACAGAATGATTTTATAAAATTAAAAAGTAAATTTAAATACACAAATAGCAAATTTGTCTATTATGTGACCATTGTGTTTGTGACTTTAGCATTTTTCTTTGTGCTTTGGGTCTGAGTTGCTATTAGGTTTGTGGGATTCTACTGGGTTGTTGTGGGTATGAGTTGCTAGTGTTGGTATGCGCTCTTCTTCTGCCTGTGCTTTGACTTTGCTCGTGCTTTTATATTTACTCTATTCGTCTGTGCATGACTCTTTGGAAACCACATCTCTACTACCAAGTAGGGGTAAGGTTTGCGTACACATACCCTCCCCAGATCCCACCTCTTTTGGGATTTCATTGGGGATGTTATATATACAGTTTGATGAGCTGGAACTAAGCTCTTGTAGAGCCTTGGGCTTCAGGAGTTTTTGTGATCAATGACGTGCTTTAGTTCAAAAAAGAATGAGCTTTCTGAATAGTTGAATTGTTTTTTACTAGGTCAGACATATGTCGACATATCATGACTTTCTGCTTTATTTATGTTGTTTCTGTTGTTGCTGCAGCCATCATCAACATCTGCCGCAACGACATTGTAACACACACGCACACACAATTGTTTCTGTTTATTTTTGGGAACTTAATATGATTTCAGTCCATTATTGGATGCTCCAGTTATATTTTGTTTGGAAAATGAGTGAGCATAATTGCAGGTTGTAGTCGTGTCTGGTGAAACTGGATGTGGTAAAACCACACAACTGCCACAATATATCCTTGAATCAGAAATTGAAGCTTCTCGCGGAGCTACTTGTAACATTATATGTACCCAGCCTAGGAGAATATCTGCTATGGCAGTAGCAGAAAGAGTTGCTGCAGAGAGGGGTGAGAATCTGGGAGAATCTGTGAGTTTTTTTTGCTTTTACTACTAATCTCTGCATTTGTTTTATTTGGAGGATTCAGTTACTAAATGGTCTTCAATTTTGTTTGAAGGTTGGTTATAAAGTTCGTCTTGAGGGGATGAAAGGGAGGGATACTCGTCTTTTATTTTGCACTACCGGCATTCTATTAAGGAGATTGCTTGTTGATAGAAATTTGGAGGGTGTTTCCCATGTTATTGTTGATGAGATTCATGAACGTGGAATGAATGAAGGTAAATTATATACGGAGTATGATTTATTTATGATGTTTCTTCACTAGCAAATTTCAATGATGGTATCATCCTTTGCTTTTTGTTTCAGATTTCCTTCTAATTGTCCTCAAAGATATTCTTCAACGCCGACCAGATTTAAGGTTGATTTTGATGAGTGCCACGCTTAATGCTGAGCTTTTTTCCTCATATTTTGGTGGTGTTCCTAAGATTCACATTCCTGTAAGTTGAGGATATTTACAACATATTAAACATTATTTTCTAATAATGTTAAGTTTGCAGCATAGTTGTCATGGCGCCAAGGCGAGGCGCCAAAGTACCGCCATGACGACTAGGCGACTGCGTAGGCAACACTTAGGCGGCAACACATAAGAAATCAGGATTGGTATACATTAGTTAAACTGTAACACTAATATAAATATAAACCTACGTGTTCTCTAAACCTAATCCAAATTTCAAATACACATACTAAAAAAAATATAAACACCATAATATGAAAAAAAGAAGAATATGAAATATGATTAAAAAAAATATGTGACTTCTTAGTTCAAATTAAATACCAAGTATGAAAAAATCAATGACTAAAAGGCATAAAGGATTTTCAAAAGGCGATGCCTGGACGCCTAGGTGAGGGCAAGGCGACGCCTAGGCGAGGCAAAGGCGATGCCTAGGCGAGGTATGCAAAATAAGGCAAGGCGATACACCACAGCGAGAGGAGCTGACCAGGACGCCTAGGTGACACCGTGGCAACTATGGTTTGCAGTGTCCCACTCTCTGAATTGAGAGTGCCACAAATCCATTTCCCCTCCACATTGTTTGGGTGTGAAAAATGTTCCACTATCTCAGCCCCAAAACTCCTGGTCATGCACGTGTGTCAATTTGATCAGAATTTCTCACAACACACGAGGAAATCATTTACATATCTGTGCACGTGCACATCTATGTATGCATGTGTATATATCATATACGGGCCCCTATATGTGTATATGTACGTGCATATCTGTTTTCTTCTTAGCTTGGCTTGGTGGTCAACAATTTGCTCAAGAGGTCTTTTTTGTTTAACAAAAAGGCAGTTTTGTTCACCACTATTGGAGGAGGGCATCAGTTTCATATTTCTACACTGATTTATCTTCAATTTTGAGCAATCTTAGTAGGTAGTTGCTGTTAGGGATAATGAATCAGATCCAATTATTTTAGTCTCTCAAGCAATGTTCAAAATGGCATTCCGTTACCCACCAGATTGCACGCCTCATGTCTATTTCCAGTGAAAAATGCTTTGTGGCAATCTAGCCATAGGCCATAATGTCCATATGGTTTTCTCATCTATTGCAGAAGAAGGCGTATGTCTCGGGGCGTACACAATGAGGCAGTAAGAAGCATCCACTGTTTACGACATTGCCACTATCCAATCCTACCTTCTTTTAGCATTGCCCAGTTTTTATTGCAATGGCTACCTTTGCTGTGTGTCGTTTAGGTTTTGGAGATTTCTTCCAAGACTTGTTTGAGTATGTACTCTGTAGCTCTCTATTTAAACAAAGAAAACTATAATTAACACATCTATGACACTAGAGAAAACACAGACGAAAAATGAAGAAGAAAATGGGTCGGGTAAATATCAATAAGGCAAACATTCTAATCACCAGGTGGCACTGCTTTCAGTGCTTGCAAGTAATTTAATAGCTTTAGTTGACGAAGTGTAATTGACAAGTTCTATGTATTCAACTCTTTTCTCACCTTTTACAGGGCTTTACTTATCCTGTTCAGAGTTATTTCCTGGAAAATATTTTGGAAATGATTGGGTACCGGTTGACTACATTTAATCAAATTGATAATTACGGCGAAGATAAATTGTGGAAAATGCAGAAACAAACTCTTAGGAAGAGGAAATCACAAATTTCTTCAGCTGTTGAGGTAAGTTGGTTTTTAATGCCAATATCTCATGCTTTAGTTTTCTTGCATGTAATTGAGTTCTCTGTTTTTGCACCAGGATGCACTTGAAAATGCCAATTTTATGCAGTATAGTCCTTGGACTCGGGAATCATTATCTTGCTGGAATCCAGATTCAATTGGCTTTAACCTCATTGAGCAAGTACTTTGCTATATATGTAGAAAAGAAAGACCTGGTGCTGTTTTAGTATTTATGACTGGTTGGGATGACATAAAAGCTCTAAAGGATCAGCTCCAAGCAAATGCACTATTGGGTGATTCAAGTAGAGTTTTATTGCTTGCATGCCATGGTTCAATGGCCAGTACAGAGCAGGTATTTTCAGCTTAAATTTCCTTCAGCTTCTTTCATATTTGCACGAGCAATGTATTACAGAACTCTTTTAGGGCCTGTTTGGTGAGTTTTGGAGGGTTGAAATGATATAAGTTGCAAAATCCGGAAGACACAATATGGGTTTTGAATTGTGAAATGAATGTGTTTGGAGAGATATGAAATTATGGTTGTTAGTAATAGGTGAGGGTGGCCGAGGATGCAAGGTGCTTTGCTGTGGCGGTGGCAGGTACCTGATGATGGTAAGTGGCCGACGGTGGGGGTGGTCGATGATGGTGAGTGCCCGACAACATTGGGGACCAACAGTGGAGGGTGGTTGGCAGCAATTGTCCAACAACATTGGGGTCCGACGATGGGTGGCCAACAATGGTGAGGCCGCCGATGCTAGGTGGGTGGTTGGCGGCAGTTGGCCAGCAACGGGGGTGCCAGGTGGACGCGTTGGTGGGATTTGGTGGTCGGTGGATGAGGGAGATATCAAATCCCCGGATTAATATCGGGAGATATCAAAACACCCCATTTGGAAGGTTTATTATCATATCTCAAGATATCAAATCCGTATCCTGTCTCAGTTTCACCAAACACGTACAAGAGTTTTGATCTCCAAAGATATGAAAACCATATCTCCTGGTTCACCAAATGGGCCCTTAGAGGATCAACAATCTACAGTATAAGGAATTCTTGATGTTTGGGATTTTCTCATTATTACTTTTCCTCCACTCTCTAAATGTCATGTCAAACACGAACAGTTCTAGAGTTTTATTGATCATTAGCTTGCATGTGAAATAATCCTTACCGTGCACTTCCTCATTCATTTCAATCATAATTGTTTTGTTAAAAATCAAATGAATAACGAATTCCTATCCAGCAGAACAAATATTCTAGTGGGATTGTGCTTAAAACTAGTATTACGAAAGAAGATATTGCTAAACCAATGCTTGCTTAAAAATTAAAACTATTTAGATTGAAGATATGATAGTCCAACATCTAATGCATAAGAGATGCACCCACCGCCCACGCTTATAACTGATGAAGTGATAACCTATAGTTGCTTGTTCAAACAACATAGTTTCAACTTTGCTTACCTTTACACATAATTCAACTCTGACTGAGTGTGATGCTATAGCTACCCTTAAGTTTTCACTTATTTTTTTATTTTCATTTGTCTGCAAGACAGAAACTTATTTTTGATAAGCCTGAAGATGGAGTGAGGAAGATCGTGCTAGCCACCAATATGGCTGAAACAAGCATCACTATAAATGATGTGGTCTTTGTTGTAGACTGTGGAAAGGCAAAAGAGACATCTTATGATGCACTCAATAACACTCCTTGCTTGCTTCCTTCTTGGATTTCAAAAGCTTCTTCTCGGCAAGTATGATATTCTGATTTGCACAATTGCACTAAATTTTTTCATATGCATCTCACTTATGTTAGTTTTAGGTCCACACTGATTTTGAGAGCGTTATTCAGAATGACAACTTCTTCAAGTTTTTGACTATTTAGTACTAGTGCTAAAATACTTCTTAACCCACCAGAGAAAAGGAAGAGCTGGCCGTGTTCAACCTGGAGAGTGCTTTCATCTATATCCTCGATGTGTATATGATGCCTTCGCTGACTATCAATTGCCAGAGCTTTTGAGAACACCGTTACAGTCTTTATGCCTGCAAATTAAAAGTTTACAACTTGGAAGCATCTCAGATTTCCTCTCCAAGGCCCTGCAGCCACCAGAATCACTCTCTGTAAGCCCACTCAAACTGCCTTTTTTAACAAAAAACCATAATGTCATAATATGACATCAACTCCAATTGGAGCACTGTACTCCGTTCATAAAATTGATGGTTCCTACACCCCCAGAGCCCAGTGTCCCCGGATCACCGATTTCGCAACCAATAAATTGGCTGCCAAATTGGCGATGGGGTGGGGGGGGGGGAGGAAACATCAGTTTTATTATAACAATAGTTGTTGTCAAACGAAGGTGCTGCTTTTTAAAAGTTACCTCTTCACTTATTATATGAACTCCTTGTGTTTCTTTTTCTGTATCTGATCCTATTTGCTCATGGTCCCCAGAGGCCCATTTTCTTGGCAAATAATTTGCTCCATTTTGATTTTTATGCTTAGCGACATTATTTTGCAGGTTCATAATGCCGTCTTGTATTTAAAGACAATTGGTGCTTTAGATGAAGATGAAAATTTAACATTGCTTGGTAAAATCTTATGTTCTTGATAGAGCAGCCAATTTGTTTCGCATAAGTTTTGTTCATGTCTTAGTTTATACATTTTGTAGGACATTGCTAATAAATCTGCTAAGCCAATCTTCCATATTCATGTAGGACGACACTTGTCAATGCTTCCTGTGGAACCAAAACTTGGAAAAATGCTCATACTAGGTTCCATTTTCAATTGTGTGGATCCTATAATGACTGTTGTTGCTGGCCTAAGTTTGCGAGATCCTTTTTTGATGCCATTTGACAAGAAAGATGTAAGTTCCTTAAGATAGCTTGATATAAAGTTTATTAGTTGGGCAGATTCACTTCAAAGTTAAATAGCTATATACTCCCTCCATCCTGAAGTTCTTCGCGTTCATTATTCATAGGGTCAAGCCATATTTTGGTTCCTTGCATAATTTCATTAATTACTATAGTTCTCTCGTGCAAATGCACGGTTATTGTTTTATAATGAATAAGATTTTCTAACTATGAAATACTTCATGTAATTGTGAGAATATTATACTAAGATCTGACATACAAAATAAAAATGACAAATTAAAATTGTATTTCATAGGTATGCCGTATGCATACTTTTCTATAAAAATTAGTTGCATAGAATATTGATAAATTTTACTCCCTCCGTCCCAAAAAAAACATGACCTTATAGTTTATAAGGCTCTATTAAAGTTATTTTTAATTCAATTTTTTTCAAAATAGTGTAATATATATATATATATATATATATCTATATATATGAATGATTATCTTATTTTGTCATCATCAATGAAAATAGGTAAAGAAAATGGATATAGTTTGACGGTGTGAACAGTAAACATAAAGATATTTTGGGATGGAGGAAGTATTATTTTAAATCCATTTTCCATACATGCACCTTTCTATATTCAAATAATGAGATTAGGTTCTAAAGATTCTTCAATGGATGTAAATGATGACTATGGCCTTAATAAATGTGTGTAAATCAATGCATGTCTTGCTAAATATAGGCTCTCCTCTTAGGATTCAAACTCACAGCCTGTTTTACAATCCTCCCCTTACCAATATGGACTGTCTCTTGAGGGGCAAAACTTTGGGGGTTGAACTTTTTTATACTAGGCACTAGCTGGTCCACCTTAAATAGGCTTGCCGCAAGAAACCCCAGATTAGTATGGCACCACTTACCCCAACTCATTTGGCCATGCCGAACTTGTGCTGTGATTTTTTTAGGTGCAAGTATTCCTAGTTTACTATTGCTAGTGATTAGTACGGAAGTAGATTCGAATTCTCAACTGTTTAGTGAGTTCATTTTGTTAGTGAAAATGCCTACACAGTGACTCAAACTTAAGATCTCTCACAAGGTGAGAGTTTGATGTGTGTGAGTGGTTAGTGGTTACCAACTTATCATTGGACCACTCCAACTTGTCAAACACCCGATCCATAATACAAAGGATGCTGTTGGGGGCCCTCTGGAGTAGCTCAAGTTGTTGGGAGAAGCATGATTGTGTGCCATGTCAGGTGTTTGAATCCCAGGCAGATCAGGTATCAATATTTATGTGTTGGGAAAGGATTATTGTCCTGGGAGGTAGGGCTGGAACAAAGAGCAGGAACCTGAACAACTGAAGACTATATTGAGATCATAGTCAGATTTTCCCTCCTCCACGGGTCTTGGGGAAGGCTCATGGGGGTCTAAGAATATTCCGGCACAACACATTAAGAAATTTTTCAATTAAGGCCTTCCAAATTTCCTGCACAACACATTAAAGATTACATAAAAAGACAAACTTATCAATTTGCTACTGCACCGCTCGAATAAAACTGTTTGGCCAATGTTCTGAGCGATTCAACTAAATCTAATTACCACCAGTAAGTCTCATGCCTACAACCATAAACTGATTAAAACCTCTACCTCATGCCTCCGACGTTACACAGTTAAAACACCGGAGCAGCCTCTACTTCACCATGTAAACCCGCCAACCCTGAACAACTCAAACAACAAAATCCAACTACCAAAAATCATAGGCAAGACTATTAATTCAAACAAGGAAATGTTTGACATTGGGAAAGGAGGATCCCACCGAAGCACCTAAAACATCTATATTGCAATGTGTAGTATGGACTAAATCCTAAAATCAAGTGATCGAGTTTTTTCACTGCCGCGTTGAGTTTAACTTGTAAACACTTTGTTGTTCAAGTCAACATGCGAGTTGTTAACATTTGCTGTGTTTGAGTGACATGAACTTCATAGTGGTTGATGACTTGTTGCAGCTTGCTGAATCAGCAAAATCCCAGTTTTCTGCCCGTGACTTTAGTGACCACCTCACTCTTGTCCGTGCTTATGAAGGCTGGAAAGATGCCGAGAGGAACCAGTCTGGTTATGAATACTGTTGGAAGAATTTTCTCTCTCAACAAACTCTTAAAGCCATTGATTCTCTTCGGAAGCAATTTAGCTACCTGCTCAAGGACACTGGTTTAGTTGGTGGTGTGGAAAGTTGCAACATGTGGAGTCATGATGAACACCTTGTTCGAGCAGTTCTCTGTGCTGGTCTATTCCCTGGAATATGTTCTGTTGTGGTCAGTAGTCCTCTTTAGTCTCTAGATAGCTTAAAGTTTGTTATTTATGTTTGGACATCAATGGAGACTTATTTAATTATTCCACTATATTGTTTGTCAAGAGTGTTTTGTTCTTGCTGATTTGTTCAAGTATTTGATGTTGTTGATATATCCAAATGCTTGCATTTCTTGGTCAACTTTCCTTTCATAGTGGATTAGTCTCTAGAAATCTCTGTATCTGTAGTTACTGCAATTATTAACTGATGGATTTATTTAACAGAACAAGAAGAGGTCAATATCATTGAAAACATTGGATGATGGAGCCGTTCTCTTGCACTCGGTGAAGTGATTGTGTTTTATCGCAAACAGATTAATTTCTTCTATCAAAATCTCTAATTTAATAGTGTGTTTTATATTCTCTTTAACAGAATTCTGTGAATTCCGTTGAGCCTAGAATTCCATACCCATGGCTCGTGTTCAATGAAAAAGTGAAAGTTCATGCCGTCTTCCTCCGTGATTCTACAGCTGTTTCTGATTCGATGGTTATTTTATTTGGGGGAAATATTTCAGAAGGCAGTACAGTAAGTTATCTCCCACTTCCTAAACATATCTCCTAAAGGAAGTAAATTGAAATGTTCTTTGTAGGAATTAAAATTGAAATGTTCTTTGTGACATGGCGGAATGCTGACGCTCCAGTACGGAGATGCGAGAGGCTTACGTCGGTGGGGGGAGTAGGGGAAGGGTTACAGCAAAGAAGAATTGGAAGGAGGTGATTGGACTAGACTTAGGACTTCTTGCCCTTACTGAGGATTTGACCTTAGATAAGAGCGTTTGGAGAGCTTGGGTTAGAGTAGTTGGGTAGGCGCCTTTAGCTAGGGGGTAGTTTTCTGTACTTGTGTGCTTGGTATGCCTTGTATTCTTAGTGGTTTGTTCTTTACCTCTGGGTTCTTGGTGCTTTATCTTTGCTTTATATTCTTTATTGAGCGAGGGGTCTCTTGGCAAGAGCCTCTCTACTTTCGAGTAGGGGCAAGGTTTGCATACACCCACCCTCTCGAGACCCTACTTTCGTGGGATCCAACTGGGTTGTTGTTGTTGTTCTTTGTAGGAATTGTAGTCTACCGTATAAAATCAGTTAAATGAGGTTTAATGCAAATATTTGCATATGCAATGAGCCTCTACCTTTCCACTAAATACTCTCTTTCATGAACAGCATGGGCACTTAAAAATGCTGGGAGGATACCTGGAGTTTTTCATGAAACCCGCTCTAGCAACCACATACGCGAGACTGAAGAGAGAACTTGATGAGCTAATCCATGAAAAGGTATTTGTAAGATTGGCTGTGTGTTTTTTTCTTTTTTGTGAAAAATCTGTTTCTCCGTTATTATTTCTTGACATGTATTAACTGTGTTGCACTGGACAAGTCAGTTGCATCCTTTTTACTTTGTCCCTCTGTTCGTCCTTTACATGAATGCATGAGCAAGTTCCATGCAGCCTCTTGTATATGTTGAAATGGCCCAATGATAAACTATTGTTTTTCTTCTCTTGGGTTGTTGTGCAGCTTCTGAATCCAAAAATAGACATAGGCAATCATGATGAGCTAATGTCAGCAGTAAGAATGCTGGTTTCAGAGGATGCATGTGAAGGTAGATTTGTGTTTGGCCGTAATAATAAACAAGAGTCTGCCATCAAATCCAAACGAGATGTTGAGGCAGGCACTGTTTCAAAAAAGGGCAGCGGTGGTGACAACCCAAAGTCTCAACTCCAAACTTTGCTTGCTCGAGCTGGATATGAAGCTCCCATTTATAAAACAAAGCAACTAAATAATAATCAGTTCCGAGCTGCGGTAATGTTCAATGGTATGCAATTTGTTGGCCATCCATGCCGTTGTAAGAAAGAAGCAGAAAAGACTGCTGCTGCCGAAGCTGTTCAGTGGTTTACTGCCATCAAATCCAAACAAGATGGTGAGGCAAGCACTACTTCAAGAAAGGGAAATTTTGAGGCCAGCACCATTTCAAGTAAGGGCAATGGCGGTGACAACCCGAAGTCTCATCTCCAAACGTTGCTTGCTCGAGATGGACACGGATCTCCCATTTATAAAACCAGGGAATTAAACAATAATCAGTTCCGAGCAACGGTAATGTTCAATGGTTTGGATTTTGTTGGCCATCCATGCCGTAGTAAGAAAGAAGCAGAAAAGGCTGCTGCTGCCGAAGCTGTTCAGTGGCTGACTGGAGAGACCCAATCTTCCCAGGAAACTGTTGAACACTTGTCTGCAATACTAAAAAGAAGCAAAAAGAAACTCGTTGCTTCAAGCTGGAGGTGAGACGTGGATAGAAAATATCTTAAAACAAATCCAACAATTGCTTCCACCACAAGTGGTCATTCATAGTTAATGATTCTTTATCCTCACGTCTTGGCGAAAGAAAGATTCTTGTGAAGAGTGACTCCTTACCTGTGTTGGTTTACAAGAGAGGTGGGAGGATCAATCTTTGGAGGCAGAATAGAGGAAAACCCAACCCCACCCCACATTAGCAACTGGAAGTTACTTAGTTTAAGCCATTCGTGTCGAGTTGCATAGAAGTGGCGATGTACTTACTCCAGGTGGCAGCAGTGACAGTTACTCTGTTCGTAGCGACTTCGGGCTGAGATCCTATTGCTTTTAGGTGAGTTTTCTAGTAATGGTTATAGAATCTGCATATGGGTAGGCATTCATCCAACTGCTTAACTCAACCTTAGCTTGTTCTATTTCATGTGATGTATTTCTGATAGTAGAATAGAAGCATGGCCCTCAAACCCTCATGGCATGTTTGGGTAGGAGGGTGTTTATTTATAGGACTAAATCTGCAATAGTAGACATTATAGGGGTTTACATTTTTTTAGATTATGTGGGCTATGCGTCATAAATAATTTGGTTGTCTGATTTTTGTTGGCTTACAATCCAGTGTAAATATACCCATTGTGTATCAAACTGTGTTTCCATATGATATTAATAGGCATATTTGGAATTTGAAGATTGAAAATTTGGTGAATTTAGCCATTCTTTCTTAATACTCCGTAGTATATTATGTTTTTAAAAGTGTGTAAAACATACTCCATTCCAAAAATAAAATAAAAAATTATCTACTTTTTCTTTTTGGATGTTTCAAAAAATATTTCGACTTCATTAGCTCCTCGTTTGCTCTGCTGAACATTGTCAAAAAAAAATTCACTGCAATTTTTTTTTTTAAAAATTAAACTAACATTTTAGCCAATGTAAATCGATAAAATGTTGTGCATTTTTTTGGGGTACATTTTTTGGTGTAATCCTAACATGGTTGTTTATCAAAATATTTGTTTTGCTTAGGAGATCACACATCCATTTAAGAATGAGAAAAAATCATAAGCGAAACTCATTTGTATTCAAGCACCACTCAAATGTCTATTTTAGCCAAAACTAACGAGAAAACTGATGGGGGTGATCGACTCTAATATTACTTTTCACTCTGCTATTGTATGTTTTAAGCTTAGTTCTTATGTGTTGAAAAAATTAACTTCTAACTTTGTTTTAGTTCCTTCCAGTTTTATCTAACTTTTTTCAGTTTCTTCTAACTCCTTCCAATTCCTTCCAACATTTAATTCTAAAATTTCAACCCCAAAAAATAGGGTCTTAATTAAAATTTGTCATTTTGGCCAAGAAAAGTTGAATAGACACCAACAAGGGGAGTACATAAGATAGATGCAAACACACACCCAAGGTTGTTTCTCTTCAGCTCTCAGATATCTAGTTTTCACCTCATTGATATGGGTGTCATGCTTCACGGTCTCAGTGGTAGTATAAACACACCAAGTCTGGATAACTTCTGACACCCCATGCAATGCCAACCCATTTCGGAGTTAAAAACTTCAAATAGATATGTTATGACACTTTAGATCTTTCAATCCGGGTAGGTCCAAGATTAAGTTCGTGCTGCATATAATTTTTACCACAACAAACTCCCTTTGCCTCTAACGAATCAGGTAATTGAATCACCGGTAAAACTGGTGAGCGAGGTATGAATCATCCCCGAATTCGATCTCTGAAAGCCCAGTGCTTTGCGTTAGCCTTGTTACTGTTCTTGCTCTTTCTTCCTCCTAGAGCTGGCAAATTAGTCGGCCGGGTCGGGTTCGGGTTTGATCATCTTCGGATGGTTACTTCGGGGTTCAGGTAAGTTTCGGTTCGGGTTAAGAGTTGCATGTTCATGACCCAATGTCATCGAGTTCGGGTTGACCCAATGGGTTACAACTTTCATTTATTTTTTGAAATTTTAAGTAATTTTTATGATCAATTATCGACATTACGAATAAAAAAAACTAAATATGTAGAAATATTTGAAAAACGTAAGATAATTATGCGATATCATTAAAATTTTGTATGAAAATATAACTTTATACTTTAAAAATGAGTAGAAAGCAAAGAAATATAATTAAAATCTTATTTTTCTAACATTATATTACATATTAAAGCATATGATTTTGAACAATTCTAACATTAGCGGGTCAGGTCAGATTCAGGTTCGATTGGGTTTGACCCATTTTTAACGGGTAATTTCGGGTTCGGTCAACTTCAGGTTCGGTCAGCAAAACCTTTGTTCAAAACCTAGTATTTTCGGGTCGGGTCTCGGGTCAAAAACATGTCGGGTCATTTTTTGCCAGGTCAAGAATTAGAAGAAAAAAAATCTACTCTATTCAAGACTCTTTGGGGTATTTATAACATCTAAGCATCCTGATGTTATTGGGTTTCTCTTAGAAAACTTAGATAAATCTTTCTCCAAGTAACGAATCTAAATTATATTCAGCCCAACCCGTCAAGCTCATCTCTTGGCCTGGATGGGTTTAACCCATCTATCGGCCCACGAGTCACTCCTTGGGTCAATGCCTTGGTGTCAGATTGATTAACTAGAATAAGTATTCTGGGCTAATTATATTACGGAGTAATAATTACACATTGACCCAATATACCCATCAAGTTATTTTGAAGAGAAGTTTTATGGTGGACCTCATCACCTCATGCCATTGTGCATCTTTTAACACAATTGTTTTACAATATTTTCTAAAAAAATGTTTATCTTAACACTTATGAAGTACTTGTTTAACATATATGTGTGTTCACTATAAACCAAATTAATCTTAGGTCATCGTAAAAATTTACTTTGAAAGTTTTGCAATTTTTAAAACAGGCTCAAAATTGGGGTAAACGAGTTTTAGATTAGGTTAAAAATTTTAACTTCATTCCACGCCACAGAGCAATACGAGTTGGATCTAAATTCCAAACTAAACCAACTTGAAGTAGTTACTTCGTACTTGTATTTGTATTAAACTTCTCCAAACGACATCGTTTTGAATAGTTTTTTAAATTAAAAATAAGGGCTTGTTTTCTTTACTTGATTTGCCTAAAATAAATTTGGATCTTGTCTAATTTAATTGTAATAAATAAATTTAAAATTATTTCTAACGGTTAGTGATAAGAAAATTATTTCTAATCAAAATTGAAACAACATTACAATAGTTGTAAAAATAACACAACCATTTTTTCTCTAAAATAGAAGTTTTATTTTTATAACTCACTACATTTTCTGATGTATTGCAATTTTTTCATGAACACTCTGAAATATTTATTGATAATCTTATATTACCTATATAATTTTCTTTCTAAAATGGAACTATCAATTTGTGATTTTTTTATAATTCAATACAAATTTTTCCCCAAAATAATAGTTCAAAAGTTTTGAAAATGGCACAATGTGTTTTTCTCGGAAACGGCCCCCATAAATTTTATAAATCACTACATTTTTTTTGTATTGCAATTTCTTTCTTGATCGATACTCTGAATTATTTCTCATAATTCAATATTATATTTTCCCAAAACAGAAAACAAAATTTGTTAATCGTTAGACAAATCTCTAATAAGAGTGTATTGTTATATTTTTAAAAATATTAATTTTAAATTTAGAATTAAAAAATTAAAAAGTAAATTTGCCTAAAATAATCCCACATTTCATTAATTTATGAAAAACATGCATTTTCTAAAACTTCCGTTAAGTGGCCGTTAGTTTTTTAACGGCGACCCAAAACTCGCACACGTGCAAAAATGTGAGATTGTTTCCGGTGGCAATAAAAAGTGAAATTATTTTTGAAAGATCACAAAAAAGTGGGATTATTTGAGATAATAACAAGAATAGAAGATGGTTAGGCTGTCCATTCTGGGCAGAGTTGGAGAGGTTACTCTATCAGAGTCGCCACGGCTACAGGCACCCCGCACGCAGCATCCCGACAAGGCTCCGCCGTATGCGGTTAGCCTCCCGCCAAATCCCGGGCCATAGCCGCCTACGCCGTTAACTCGCGGCCTTCAGTGCCTTAGGTATTTCCTCCATCTCAAATCGTTTTTTCTTCTTGGATTTTGTTCTATCAACCTAATTACTCCTTATTTCTTTTAATTATTCTAGAGAATTAAAAGTTTTGTTTTTTGATACTTAAATATGTGATTCGTGCATTTGTGAACTGTAAATTTGTCAATTGTGATTAAATTAATTTTCATATCAACATTATCAAGCTTTAGGTTTTGGACTATTTTAATTAGTAAAGTACAAATTAAAGGTGACTTGTTAAAATTTTAAATTATTAGAATTTTTATAGGATGCGAAGTTATTTAAAAAAGATGCCAAGATTTAAGAGCTCGAATCATGTGATAATCCCTATCCTGAATTCGAATGTTTATTCTTCTCTAAATCAATCGATAGAACAAACTATTAGTGAATGCAAAACCCATTGAATGACAATCCATGTGAATTGAATTATAGATTATCATCCAAATGGGAAAAATGAAATACACAATAGATTATATAGTAGTTATCTCAAAAGAACATTTCCACCCCAAAATTACGAATTTCACTGGAAGAGATTTAGTTTTGTTTCGTCTTGGTTTGATGATTACTCTTGGTTGGAATATATAATTGCTCAAAATAGTGTGTTTCGTTTGTCATTTTACTTGTTTAAGAATTGGAGTGTCGTTGGAACAAATCTCATAATTTTCTTATTACTGTATGTTACCTTTAATTTTATGGATCACACTTTTACTTAATTGCATGGATCACACTTTTACTTATTTTTATGGATCACACTATATCTTACCTCCAAATATACAACAACAACAACCCAGTTGGATCCACAAAGGCAGGGTCTGGCGAGGGTGTTTGTATGCAGACCTTGCCGGCTTGCCCGTGCTCGAAAGTAGAGAGGCTGTTTCCAAGAGACCCCCGACTCAAGCTGCAAAGATAAAAAGAGGCGGGAGATACTAAAAGTAGAGAAATACATATAAAGCACAAATAGATGAACTTTTACATTGGTTCTATGGTGATTGAGGAGGTAGGCATGGTGGTTGAGTCGGGAGTTTAGGATCAAGAAGACCGAAGATCTCTTTGGGGGCATAATTCATAAATGTTAAAACAAAATAAGAGATTGTGCTCTCAAAAAGTATACGGATGAGAAGAAAGTGGCTTTAAGGATGGTAACTCTCTCCTAGGACAAGTTGTGGTGGTTTGTTAGCTTGTCTATATTTCAAGCTATAAGGGTTTTATAGGACAACAAATGTAGGAAATCAGTTAGCATATGCCATGGCATCCTCATAACATTATCATCATAAAAACCCTAAATCGTTTGCATCACCATCTTTCCTTTCAGTGCCAAATAAATGAAATAAGTTTTACAAAAGTTTAGCAAAATGTAAGAATCTTTGTCTTGCAATTAACCTGTCAAAATAAATGCATATCAGTCTCGCAACTATAACTCTACAACTATCAGGTCTTCACCTCAAAATAACAACTCAAAAAGTAGAACTACAAATACAATTTCTACGTATCTCTCTTCATATCAAGTTTCTTGATACTCTATTCATTTTTTGGGCCAATCCTTCGGTGCCTCTTTTAAAGTGGGGCTTTTAAAACCCTCCCCATGTGGCACAATAAGAAAGAGACATGTGGACATGATATTTCACCTCTTTTGAGAACCTAAATTATTCTTGTTAATTCAATATTGGCCCCAATCTAAAATTTATTTATTTTTACACTATAAATTACTCCCTCCGTCCCCCATAGATCTTCCCAATAGCCCTTTTTCTTTGTCCACAATAGATCTTCTCATTTCATTTTTTAACAATTAAAATACCACAACTACCCCCACTTACTTTATTTATTACACCTCACCCACCTCATTTAATACACTCCACCCATTTTCATTAAGGGTATTATGGTAAACTTTCACCTTTTTTCAACTCTCCTTAAAAACCACCAAAAGTCAAAATGAGAACATCTTACGNTAAATTACTCCCTCCGTCCCCCATAGATCTTCCCAATAGCCCTTTTTCTTTGTCCACAATAGATCTTCTCATTTCATTTTTTAACAATTAAAATACCACAACTACCCCCACTTACTTTATTTATTACACCTCACCCACCTCATTTAATACACTCCACCCATTTTCATTAAGGGTATTATGGTAAACTTTCACCTTTTTTCAACTCTCCTTAAAAACCACCAAAAGTCAAAATGAGAACATCTTACGGGGACGGAGGGAGTATTATTTTGTTAACAGCGGGTTAACGAAACGGCCTGTTTTGTGCAAAAAAATAAAAGTTGGAATTATTTTTAATGAATTTTTGTTTTTTATTTATCTAAATATTTATTTAAGTTGTTTTAAAAAAAATTCTATATAAATTTCTTTTTCCTTTTTTTTAAATATTATTCTTATCTTATTAAAAAATAAGTATAAAATATATAAAAAATAAGTATAAAAATATACAATATAAGATTTCAGTTATTTTTCTCATTTTTGTTTTTATATATCTATTTTTTTATTTATATCCAATGTTAGACAAATCTTTAAAAGAATACAACAAAATGAAAGTTGGGCTTATTTTTAGTGAATTTTTGTTTTTTATTTATCTAAAAATTTATTTAAGTTTTTAAAAAAACTTTCTATATAAATTTCTTTTTTCCGTTTTTTTAAATATTATTCTTATCTTATAAAAAATAAGTACTCTCTCCGTCCCCCAGTTTTTGTCCACTTTCATTTTTACACACCATCCAATGCACTTCTTTAATCCATTTTATCTTGTAATTTGTATATTAAAAAATTATAGAAATTATATATTAATAATCTATATGTTAAGACAAATCAAACAAGATCACACATGACTATATTTAGGCTTACACATTGAGAGAATTTGATGAGTCAAAGTGCTTAGATGAACAGTTCCAAAAGTCAAAAGTGGACAAAAACTGGGGGACGGTGGGAGTATAAAATATCAAATATAAAAAATAAGTATAAAAATATTGAATATAAGATTTTAGTCATTTTTCTCATTTTTTTTATTTTTATATCTAATTTTTTATTTATCTAAAAATTTATTTAAGTTTTTAAAAAAACTTTCTATATAAATTTCTTTTTTCCGTTTTTTTAAATATTATTCTTATCTTATAAAAAATAAGTACTCTCTCCGTCCCCCAGTTTTTGTCCACTTTCATTTTTACACACCATCCAATGCACTTCTTTAATCCATTTTATCTTGTAATTTGTATATTAAAAAATTATAGAAATTATATATTAATAATCTATATGTTAAGACAAATCAAACAAGATCACACATGACTATATTTAGGCTTACACATTGAGAGAATTTGATGAGTCAAAGTGCTTAGATGAACAGTTCCAAAAGTCAAAAGTGGACAAAAACTGGGGGACGGTGGGAGTATAAAATATCAAATATAAAAAATAAGTATAAAAATATTGAATATAAGATTTTAGTCATTTTTCTCATTTTTTTTATTTTTATATCTAATTTTTTATTTATATGGCACTGAAGGGAAGAAAAATAAATTAATTTTGGATTGGGGCCAATATTAATTTAATAAAAATAATTTAAGTTCTTAAAAAATGTGGAATATTATATCCACATGTCTCTTTCTTATTGCGCCACATGGGGAGGATTTTAAAACCCTCACTTTGGACGAGGCACCGAAGGAACCGCCCATTTTTTGACATTATGCATCTTTCTATTAATATATCCATTCGCGTAATGCATCGCATCTTCAAAAGGAGTTATGCTATCGTGGTCTTAAATCCACATATAAAATGTAGACTTTATCACATATTTTTTTATGAGTTCATAGTTGGATCTTATAATTTTAACAAGGCTCAATATATAAAATTATTTTATGTATGATGATCAATAAAATGAGAAGAAATCACCCTAAATAGTAGTAAAACATAATATTTATCCTCAAAATAGGAGATTAGGAGTTTCATGTTATTATCCCAAAAATAAGAGTTTGCATTGTGACATTATGACATTGTATAGTGGCACCCCACTTTATTTTTGGTACTATATATTGGCATTGTACTCCTATTTTGGAGATAAAAAATATGGAGATTCTATTTTGGTACTTTCTCCATGTTTTACTCCTAGTTTAGTCCCTTTCCCTAAAATGAGTATAGACCTAAGAATCACAAAAGAATTTGTCTTCAAAAGTGATGTTGGGTACTCCTTACAACTCAAAGTTACACTCTACTTTATACTCCATTAGTTTATGCACCAAAACTAAATCCTACTGCGTACATTTGAACCCGTTCTAAAACCCGTTTATCAACACAAAATTCCTTTGAAGTTCCAAAGTGCAAATATTTGCCGTTATGGCTCACCACAAGGTTTGATTTTCCAGGGCCCACTTCCTCCGAGCCTCATAGTTTTGGTGCTCTATTTGGGTGGGTTTTTCCCATATTGCTCTGGTTTCTTCATTCCACATTTTTAATTTGATTCTGATTTTTGTTTTAGGTCATATTCTAGACTTGATTTTCATTTCGTATTAGGTTTTCATGAATCAGGTATTTCGATTTCAACACTTGGTTGCAATACCTTCTGTTTTTTTTATATCATGTTTTTACTTCCTCCATTTTTCCCCTTGTTGAATTCTCCGAAGAATGATGAAAATTCTAGGTTTGATTTTTTATCATTTTAAATCTATTAACATTAAGATAGGCTAAATATATGGCCCAAATGTTTATATGATGAGCTTGAAAATAGGACATGAAGGAGCTCAAGTTTTTGTCAAAATTGATTTGCCCAAACTTGATTTTCTATGTAGTAAGATCAAAAGAGCAGAGGGAAAAGAAACTTTGGAAGTTCTTTTAAGATATGGAATCTGCATTCGGATTTGCTTGCCAAATAAGCTCTATTTCAACTACTTTTGTTTTTTAGTAGCTCCATTGGCAAATGCGTCTAAAAGAATCATTATTGACAATGTTTTAGCTTCTTGTAAATAATACCCCGAGTAGACTACATGTGTAGTACACATTAAGGGTAACAAGTCTCTAAATTTCTAGAGATTTCATGTGTTTTGACCTCATAGCATCACTGGGTTTTGTTGTTTTTGTTCTTGATGTGATCCATTACGCGAATGAATATATTTGTATAAAGATGCAGAATGTCAAAAAATAAAGAGTATCAAGAAACTTGCTATGAAGAGAGATTCATAGATATTGTACTTGTAATTCTTAACTTTTGAGTTACTATTTTGAGGTGAAGATGTTGTTTGCGTGATAGATGTAAACTTATAGTTGCAATATTGACATGCAAGAATTTTCTCAAGTTGTAATTTGAAGTTTTGTATGCATTAATTTTGACAGGTTGTTTGCAAGACAAAGATTCTTACATTTCGCTAAACTTTCCTGAATCTTATTTGGCGCTGAAAGGAAATATTGTGATGCGAAGAGTTTAGGGTTTTTATGATGATATTGCTATGAGGATGCCAAGCCATATGCTGCTTGATATCCTACACCTGTTTTCCCGTAATACCCTTATAGCATGAAGTATAGACAAGTTAACATATCACCTCAACTTTTCTTAAGAGAGAGTTACCATCCTTAAAGCCACTATTTCCTCCGGTATACTTTTTGAGAGCAAAATCTCTTATGAACTCTGCAGCCAAAGAGGTGTTCTTGATCCTAAAATCCCGACTCAACCACCATGCTCACCTCATCAACCACCACAGAACCATTGTAAAAGTTCGTCTAAAATGGGTCAAAAACCGAGGCTTAGATCACATCATAGATGTCCAAACAGATCTTAAAGCTGCTTGCCTTCTCAAGAATGCAATTGTACGCTCCCCTTCAGGATACCTCACCTCTAAGTCACTTGATGACTCCCATAAACTCCTTGGTCTCACTGTCCCTACACTCCGGTTCATCCGCCGATTTCCCACTCTCTTTGAGGAGTTCCCACACCCCAAGTATCCATCTATGCCTTGCTTTAAGCTTACCCATGTAGCAAAAGTCCTTCATGATCAAGAAATGAAGGTGTTCGATGATGTTCAGAGTGATTCAATGCAGAGGCTCTCCAGGGTCCTGATGATGAGCAAGAACCGAATGGTAAAATTCATTTTTGGATGCTTTCTCTAGTTATTTTCTGCATGGAAAAGATAATTTATACTTTTTAAATAAATTTACGTACTGTAGTATTTTATGCACTCTTTCCTCTATGAATGTACATGCCTTTTTTTTTTGAAATCGTATGCTTGATATTGGTATATGTAGTAAATTTCTTTTAATGTATGGCAAATGAAACTATATTGTTTAGGAGAAAAGAATGGCCCTTGTGGGTCTGTTTGGAATCCATAATACACTAGGGAAAGTAATTAATAAATTTGTACATAGTATTAGATATTTTTTCTAAAAGCATTTATACATTGGTTTCTATATACATTTAACCAACTAGAAATCGAATAATTCCCATATGCTTTTTATTAAAGAAAATGAATCATTCATTTTTTATTTTCTTTGCATTTTTTAAGTTAAAGCCAGGCATAGGAAACTTGGAACTTCTCCCCTTCCCCTAGAAGTTTCCTTGATCCAAACATGCCCTAAAACTAAGAATTGGTAGGGTGCCAAATTGGAGTAGGTGTAAAACTGTCAAGTGAAGGCTTTATGCTTTCCCATGTTGATTAAAGGAATGATACTTTGATTAGTTTGATATTCCTTATTTTCTAATGCTATTGTAAGTTCAAGTCTTTGCTAACATATACTATGAACCTTGCATGATCTCCAGCTCATTTGTCCTTTCTGTTGGTGCCGATTTTGAACTTTTTTTTCTTCAAAATGATGTAGGTACCTCTAGAATCTCTGCATCAACTGAAATGGGATTTAGGATTGCCTGATGATTTCGATAGGAACTTTATCAAAAAATTCCCAGAGAATTTTGTGGTCGTTAGAGGTGGCTCAAATGGTTCCCCATGTCTAAAACTTCTCAAATGGGAGGACCATTTTGCAGTCTCTGAGCTGCAAAAGATGAACAATAAGGATGAGTCAGGTGGCAATACCGACACCACGTCCGTTTACAGGCAATTCAGAAAGGGGAAATCCGCGTTGGAATTCCCCATGAGTTTCCCCAGGGGCTATGGAGCGCAGAAGAAGGTGAAAGCCTGGATGGATGAGTTCCAGAATCTTCCCTATATTTCACCCTATGAAGATTCTAGCGGAATAGATCCCAACAGTGATCTGATGGAAAAACGGGTTGTTGGCGTGCTGCATGAATTCTTGAGCTTGACCCTGTACAAGAAAACAAAGAGGAACTACCTAAGGAGCCTCAGAGAAGAAATGAATCTTCCCCATAGATTCACGCGAATATTTACTAGGTACCCGGGGATATTTTACCTCTCAATGAAGTGTAAAACAACCACTGTGGCACTCAGGGATGGGTACCGTCGTGGGAGACTGGCAAACCCACATCCACTCACCCGCCACAGGGATAAGTTTCATCATGTGATGAGGACCGGGTTAATCTATCGAAGCAAAGGACTTGACATTTTGCCTCAGCTTGACGCTGTTGAAAACAATCCTGTTGAAGAAGAAGAAATTGATGATGATGATGATGATAGTGATGAGTGTTACAAATCTGGAAGCTCAGATTCTGATGAAGAAGATGACTAACGTTCAATGCTTCCCTTTAGGTACCCATGTTTGAAATCTTCATATGTACTTTGTAGTTATGTTTTTAAATTTTCTTGTTTGTAATCTCACAATTATTTTCAAGTGCGTTCTTCCCTTTGAATCTTCCCAATCAACATGTGTGCCATATTCTTCGCAATCAATATGTGTGTCTTATTGACCAAGAGTTTGCGGGTTCGGAACTCATTGCTGACCAGTTTTAAAAACAAAAGAAATTAAGGTTTCATATGCAAAGATCGAAGAGGCCACACTTGCATGTAATGGAATGTGTTAGGGTTTAAAACATTTTTATTGTGTTGATTTCCTAGAAATAATACTATAGCCTTGTTAACCAAGAGATCGTGAGTTTGAAATTACTGTTACGCAATTTTAAGAAATTAATGTTCACAGGCATGGCTCGAGCAAACACAAATTTCATCAGTACGTGAAGGGGCATGTTAGAGTATAAAACATTTTCTCGACATACAACTACAAGCTTGATTTTTTTGGGTTGAGTTAGTTTCTTGACATTAATACAAAAATAGAAATATAACTATGGAGTATAATATTACTCTCGCTGTTTTTTTAAACATTTCCTCTTATTTTTATGTGTAAAATTCTATCTTTTTTAAAATGATTTTTATTTATAAATTGGTATACAAATAAAAAGTAAAATTTAAATATTTTAAAATTATATCAAAAGTATTATAAAAAAGTGATGACAATAGTATTTTATTTATCAAATAATTAATAAAAATGTAATTGAACAAAACTCATCGAGGGACCTAAAATAGAAAACAAGAAGTGTTTTAAAAAAAGAAGGAAGTAAAAATCACGTCAATTAAACAAGAGTTGATAAATAGTAGGAAAAATTACCCAAAATAATCCCAACTTTACCCGGTCTTTCAAAAATAATCTCACCTTTCATTGTGATGCATAATAATCCCAACTTTACTGAAATTTGTCAATTTTGGGTCGCCGTTAAGTTTCTAACGGAGGGTTAACGGAAATGCCTGTTTTAGGCAACAAAATGAAAGTTGGGATTATTTTTGATGAATTTTTGTTTTTTAATTTTTTTGAAATTTTTATTTAAATTTTTTGAATTACTTTCAACCTCCATTTCTTTTTCTTTTTTAAAGATTATTCTTACATTAGAAAAAAATAGATATAAAAAATAATGAAAATGAGAAAAATAACTAAAACCATACAAAATTAATCAAATAAATAATGTAATCAATAAAAATTAAACAGAAACTAGTAAGAAATAAAATAAATATATACGTAGTGGTGGGTTTAACATTTTACACACTATATGGAGTCTTAATGTACTACTTATTTTTTAAAAGAACAAGTCGTCCGGTAAAGTTGGAATTATTGTAGATAATTTTTTATAAAAAATAAGAAGTGATATGTTAATACTTTGTATAATGCGTAAAATATTAAAACCCACCCGTATGTTTTTATTTTACTTTTACCAATTTCAAGTTAGTTTCTATTGATTACCTTATTTATTTTATTATTTTTGTATCATTTTAGTCACAGTTTTCATTTTTTCATTTTTTAACTTAAGACTAATCTTTAAAAAAGGAAAAAGAAATGATGAAGGAGGTAGAAAGTAATTTAAAAAATTTAAATGAAAAATTTAAAAAAATAAAAAAAATGGAAATTCGTCAAAAATAATCCCAACTTTCATTTTGTTGCCTAAAACGGGCATTTCCGTTAACCTCCGTTAGAAACTTAACGGCGACCCAAAACTGACAAATTTCAGTAAAGTTGGAATTATTATGCATCACAGTGAAAGGTGGGATTATTTTTGAAAGATCGGGTAAAGTTGGGATTATTTTGGGTAATTTTTCCTAAATAGTAAAATTTACACTAGCATTTGTGTTGGAAATTAAAATTGGGGTTCCTTTTATTCTAGCTTTATAATTGAGATATCTCTAATGTAAATAAACTTAAAAGTGAGAGATGGTCTTAATTATCTAGATATGTTTATCCGCAGCCAATAAAAAATGAGAGAAAATAAAATTAGAGAGAAATGAAAAGAATAAAAAATGAAGAAAAAACAGGATTTCTTCTCGTTGGAGGAAAATATTTTCTTACAAAATTATTTTTTAAAATATGATATGGAATTTATCACCGCACATTTTACATTGTTAATTTGGTAAGAAAATATTTTACGCCCCAAAAGCCGTTTTTTTATTATTTATTGGGAAGGAAATTTTTATATTGATAAAACCCTGTTCTTTTGGGTTGAAAAAACCAACTTTGAATTTCTTTCAACCCCTTCCAGTTTCTTACAATTCTTTTTAGTTTCTTCCAATAACGAAATATTTGTAAATGGTTGATGGGTGTATTACCACCCAGGAGATGAACTGGGGCACATGCTACAGTTGTCAACCGGGTTGACAAGTATAGCTAAAGGGGATGAAACCAAAGTAGTGGGAAGAATGACCGGGTTTGCCAAGACCACTCGAGTAGATTTCGGACACTTGATATCATCATCTCCAAAGCAGGTCAATGATGGAGAATCTATTAATCAACTGGGTGGATCTTCTCAAAAGACACACCCAGGTGTTTTTACCAAAGCTCGTGCATATCTTCATTTCTGCGTATTTTGGAAGGTAGCATTTGGAAGGGATCGGATCCTTTGCACCGACGAATGCGTCCAAATGCTACAAGACGAGAAGATGTCGCCTCGTCACATGGCTCAACAATGGCAAGCGACGCCTTGCCCCCTACTCCTTTCGAGACATATACCGCTTCAGGCTTCCATGCGTCCTACTCCTTTCTAGCTAGGCACCGGCGTCACAACCGTCGTCGCCTTTTCAGCTGCAGGTGGTCAGCATGGTGCCCCTGGTCAACCTGACAGAGGCCATGAACGCTGCAAGACCATCACGGCACCCGCAAAGTACCCCGGACGATCACTGCATATCGATTGAGAGCCGTGATGAAGAGTGGGACATTCCCCGCGCGCACAAGAAGAAGAAGAGCAAGACCCCAAGACTGATAACATCCCGGGATTCTGCCTTTGAGAGGCTACAAGAAAGGGAGGATCGCCAGAAGAAATCGGCCAAATTCAGGCTGGGACCAGGACCCACTCATGTGAGTGCCTTTGATCAATTGGGCAAGGAAAGGGAGGCCAAGCCTGCCCGCTCCCAGCACTCCCGGTCGAAGAGAAGGGAGCCAGCAATGACCTGGGTGTTACGCAGGGAGGAGGAAGCTAAAAGCCTGCCGCGTGAATTGGTGCGGAGCAGACTAGGGAATCCCCGTGACCGGGATAAAATTAAGTTATAATCAAGCCTAAATTTTAAACCGTTAGAAGTGAGAACTTTCTTACGACCTTGCTTGCAAATAGGAGGTGAGCATCATTTCCTAGTGACATAATTATAGGGGCAAAAATGCTAGGAGTACATCAAAAGTGTATCTCAAATGTACATCACCCCCTCCATTACCACATGTTTTGACATGTAAAATAAAAAAAGTAAATAAATAAAAAAGAGTGATAATGGAGGGGTGGTGTACATAGTATAATATATTTTAATGTACTAAAACGTAGTGACTTTTCAATGTAGTATAATATATTTTAATTTTCCAATGTAATAGCAATGTTCAATATTCATTAGTCATTGTTCAAGTAAATGTCCAACACCACTGGACCTTGTTCAAACTAAATATTTAATATCACTGGACATTATTTCCGCCACTAGACATTATTCAAGTATTATTTAAGTAATAAAAAAATTAAGATACTACCTTAAGAAGAGACATATGTTTTAATACTATTTACTGCAAATTTCGCATAATTATATCCATAAAGAGAGTATTTTGTTTTTAAATTTTAGAGTAAATTCCATAATTAGTCCTTTATAACAGGGGGATTTCCATATTTAGTCCTCTATTATCAAATATTATCCCCGTAGTCCTTTTTTGAGGGTACCTTTCCATAAATGGTCCTTTTTTTGATCTTCTGCCGTGTTGGTGTTAATTTAAAGGCTAAAAGTATAATTTGACGTCAACATTATATCTAGTGACGTGTTCTGATATTGGTTAAGCGGATAACACAAAAATAATGACTATGATTGTGGGCTTGGATTCCGACGAAAGATCACATTTGTAGACTATAGTTGTCGTAAAAAGCGACTGTAATTCACAAACGACGCAAACGGAACAGCCTTTGGAATTGTGTATGACAAAAAAGATATATTATCATTGTGAAATTACACTTTTAGCCCTCAAATTAATACCAACATGATAGAAGATCAAAAAAAGGACTATTTGTGGTAGATACCCATAAAAGAAGGACCGCTTGGGTAATATTTGATAATAGATGACTAAATAAGGAAACCCCCTGTTATAAAGGACCAATTATAGAATTTACTCTAAATTTTAACTCTGGCATTACTCTATCAAGAATCAAAACATGGTCTATCCTATTGAAACCATAAAAGCCACAAGGATTATCCATCATTTCTACCGAGGAAAATGCTAAAGAGGCACCAAGTGTGCCTCCAAGCATGCTACCAAATATATAATTAATTTTTTTTATTTTTCTTTTTCCAAATCTAATCTCTCTCCAACCCTTCTCCCGCTTCTCTCTCCAACCCTTCTCCCGCTTCTTCTTTCCCAAATTTGGCTTGCCGGCAAAATCCCCAACCCTCCACCTCCAGCGACCCTCCATCTCCAGCGCACCCCCAGCCCTCCAGCGCACCGGCCCCACCACCTCCATCGTCG